ATATACACTCATAAGAGTAGTATATGTTTCAATAGAATTAGGAAAACATAATAGCTTGTTGATTTAAGAGTATTAAAAGAATCAACGTGATCATGATCATAATACCTAAGAGACTTTGGATGAGATATGACCAGAAACTGAGGCCCTAATTTACTATTTTGACTCGGTGTTTTGAAAATTGACAAGGCCAAGGTACTCGGCCCTTGGCCAAGCGAGTTACTCGGATTCGCCTAAGTCCAGCGCTAGATTAAAAAAATAAGAAATAAAGTAAAAAAATTTAATAGATATGATATAGTCTTCACTTTGCTTACAGTTAATGTCAAACGGTGTGTTGGTTTGCATCTCCATTCGTAAAATGCCTCTTTGCGATTTGCGAGGGGTCTTTTTGTTCGAACCCTCATCTAACCCTTTTAACAAAAAAAGGGAGGGCCTTGATGGGATTCAAACCCATGCTACCCGGCATTACCTTTTGGTTGTGTTTGAATTGTAAATGATACATTATTTTATATATAATTAAAAAAATCGTCGTACATAGAGACTCGCTTCGCCTATAGGACGACGCCGAGTAAATCAGCCGAGTCCAAGTAGACTCGGCTGTGTCTAGATACACATTTTGGACTTGGCTCTAGAACTCGGCCAATAGATGCATTATGTTCCAATATCCAAAAGCTTTTACCAATGCTTGCATTTCAGTCTGAGAACGTTAGGGATTGACTTCTCTCCCCATAAACTCATTGCATTGCACATTTGGGCTGTCTAAATTTTGTTACCTATATTCCATCTCAAATAATTTGGTACCTTCTTGTCCTCCATTGGGAATGCATGTGTAATAGATGAAATTGGTTTTACTGTTAAACAACTTCATTACTATATTTATTTTTTAATATTGAAAGGAGTAGGTTGAATCTGCTCTCTCTTTTATTGTCTCTATAGATCCGTTAGAAAGGAGCTACACTAGAAGAAGAATCATTTCTAGAACAAGAAGAACTTAATCTAGTTTCCACAAGCTTCGATTAATCTTTTCTAAAGAAACAAGAAACACTTTTTATAGTGGAGAATACAGACCCCTACATGTTTTAAAAATAGTTAGTAGCTTTTTAATGGGTTAGTGAGAACAAAAATCTAGACCGATAGTTGAGGCTCAGGTGCTGCTACCTACCTGAGGTATCGTACCTGATTAATACTCGGGGAGCAAATCTATATTTATTAATTAATGTATGATTTGTTGGATTTGAATAAAGCAGGCATCTATTTGAATTTTCACTTCTTTTGGCAGGTTCTGAGGTTTCTTTTGGAAGGCTGCTAGAGGTATGATCCATACTTCTAATGTTAGCATTGGATAATGGATTCTAATTTGTGATTCATAATTTATGATACTACTCTTTGCATGTTATTGTGTGGATTCCACTCAATTATTTTTTGAAAATAATAATGTACTATGAATAAAGATCATGGGTGTGTGCAATCTAGTGGACAATGCATGTTTAGAAGTTGTATGTGATAGGTTGGATTTATTATTTGTTTTGTAGTTGACATGGGGAGTAAATATTACCGGCTTGATTGTTGACATGGTTGGAGCAGTAGTCATAGTAGTGATAGTGGTGGTGGTAGTGGTGGTGTTTAAACAACAACAAAAAAAAAAAAGGCAAAACAAAAAAATAAGCATGAAATATGTAAGGAAAAAGTTTATATAAGGTTATAACCTTGAAATTTAGAATTAAAGGTGCAAATCAAAAATCCATCATAAAAGGTTGTTTGGATGTTGGAAAACCCTCCAATTGATCATCTCGATATTGAGATGTATAAATAGGAAATGAAAAGAAACATTTCAAGTCCGCAAAATATTGTATCTTGCAACACATTATCTGGACTGTCCATTTTCAAGATTTTCATGTGTTTATAGATCTACTTGATTTGAACCATTTTTAAAGTTTAAAATTTGCTAGTTAAAGATGAAAATAGATTATCAAGTCATTCTAAAAAAAATTTATATCAAAACTATGTTTATGCTAAAATTTAGAACTGCGCCTTAATTGGATTTTTTAGAGTTATAACCTTATGCAAACCACACCCAATATGTAAAGCCAAAGTACACTGCCTGATTACTCTCTTAGAAGTAGTGAGAAAAGATAAGGAGACTTATGGCCTTACTGAGAGTATGGTCCTGAATAAAACAGAATGACATATATAGCCAGCCCCAATTAGTTGATGAAAGATATGGGGATTTATGGCCTCACTGAGGGTATGACCTTTAATAGAGTAGAATAACATATTAAGATTTGTGTAGCCAACTCCAATTAATTGAGATAAGACTTTGACGACAATGATGATAATGGTCCTCTTTACATGTTAATGATCTTCCTTTTTATTTTTATTTTTATTTTTCTGGTAGTTCAGGAGTAGAAATTGAACTTGAGATATAACATTGCTTGATGTCAACTATTAACCACTTAAACCCAAACCCAATTCCTACTAATGATCTAATGATCTCTTTATTAAAAATTAATATATACCTAAAAAATTAAGTCCAAAATTCATCCAAAAAATAGATCATAGAGAGGGAACTCATATGTACATATGAAGCCTAGGACTCTATGTCATTAAAAAACTCACAAGCATCTCAACACTTGTCAACATGTCGACAGAAGCAAAAGGCCACGTGTTAGAATAGCACTGGTAAAGGCTCTCTCAAGTAGGGTTTTGTATGCTCCAAGCTACAAAATTGATGGCATCTGCCATTTCTTATGTGAAAAAGGAGCAACACGAGAGTTAGAAACTCACATGTGAACAGTCCACTGAGTTGTAAGGCTCATCGCCCACCGACAGCCGTCCATTTTCCCTACATATCGTCACGATCTCACCGACCACCCCATTTCTTTGCATGACTGCCACACAATAAAATTATTAATATTAAAAAACTAAATAAATAGAAGAACAAACTTGATACTTAAAAAATGTGGGTCTTAAGAGAAATATTTTTAAAATAATAATAATAATAATAATAATATTTGAAATGGATAAAATCTACGTATTTTTCTCATCATAATCGAGCAATTTGGAGACTACAAAACATTTCATTAACTGTAGATAAGATTAACAACGAATTATTCCCATGACCTCTCCTCAAATAATGATAAAGATATTATACATAGAATGAAGTTTCTATAAGGCCTAGGCATTATGAAAACAAAATGAAGCCTTAGCTCAAATCTTCATCCATAAAGCACTTTTGGCAATAGAAATTTCCATTATGACTTTAAAATTAATTTCCAACACCGACAATAAAAATTTGAAACACGGATCTTACAAATCTATGAATACTTATTTTTAGAGTGAAATAGATGGTCTAGATAATTTGTTATAAAATACACTACTTTTAGTGTTTGAAATCCTAATGTTGTTCACAACCATAATGTTCAAGACGGAGATGATTGCTACAAAGGCTTTTCAATACTTGAATTACAATTTTCAATGAGTTATGAGGTGAGGTTTTATTTGTTTTGATAGATGTGCAGCCCTATCAAACCATTATTCTTAAACATAAGACTTATTCCACGCTTAACTATGTGATGGGCCTAGCAAGCATAACCATGTTTTTTATTAACCATTTAGACCTTGATTATTGTTTTAAAAATGGAAATTAAGCTGTACCACATATTCATTTGAACACTCCAACTCAGCATTCTTTTTTTTTATTCTTTTTGTCTTTTTTCCCAACATACACGCGTTGAAACCTTGGTTACTTGCACATTTGAATATATGAGTTTCAGCTGCCATTCTCCATATATAAGGTCTCCCCCTGAGTTGATTATAATAGAGGTATTAAACGCACTTATATATGTAAGATTCTATGTTCCCGAGGGAGCACATGCTTCGTTCGTGCTCCCTGAAGTAAGACCAGGGGTGGCAATAGGTTGGGTCCGGTCTGGGTCCTATTTGACTGGTCCCGACCTTTTGGGTCCAAAATTTGGACCCGTAGCCGGAGCCGAGGTTGGGTCTACCCGTTGGGTCCCCGGTCTGGTTGGGTCCATTGCCACCCTTTGACTTGCTTCTTTCTTTTCTTTTCGTTTTTTTCTTTTTTTTCTTTTTATTTTTACCATCATATACCTATATTTTACAGTATTGCACAACATTTATGAATACCCACATATTACAACTACTCACATTTTATATAATATCTAGAAATTCCTAAAAAATAAATATATTGGCAACGTTTATGAATACCTACATATACCCATATTATTCGGGTCGGGTCCTGCTCGACAAGTACCCATATTTGGGTAGTATTCGGGTACAAAATTTGGACCCATACTCGGACCCAAAGTCGGGTCCCGGGTTTGGTAGGGTACATTTCCACCCCTAAGTAAGACCTCATTAAGGAGAATTTGTACTATTTTATATTTTGGGATCTAACGTCCTCAACCTAGCTGCTAACTCCCCCAGCTCCCCACAAAAGAAAAAAAAAAAAATCGAAGAAATGCCTCAAAGAAATAAGGACCTAACACTAGAAACAACCTAATTTTTGGAAAATCAGATCCAAGTATGGAGAAACTCTGAATCTGAATTTAACTTTAGTATGCCAAAATTTCATATCAAAAGAGACCCTCCTAATCAATTCTGTTTTGTTTAAGGGAGTAGGTGCACAGTGTAATCCTGTGGGAACAAATTATACACACAAAATATATAATGCCTCCCCATGAGTTGTTTAGAATATTGAGAAGTGTAAGAGTAAAGTAGCTTCTGTGGGAACATATTATACACACAAAATAAACAATGCCTCCCCATGAGTTGTTTAGAATATTGAGAGGTGTGTGACCAAAGGAGCTTATTTATTAATAATATTAATGTACGTCAAATAGGTATATTAAATAAGACTCTAAGAAGTCAAATCATATGTGTTTTTCTTCTTTTTAAAACGAGGATGGAATGTATAAATACACCCCTAAAAGCTCCTTAGTTGGTCAGGCTCATTTGATTCATGCACTCTATTTCCTATGGAAATGGAGCCTAATGAAGAACTTCAAGCTTTTGATGTTTATGATTTTAGGGCAATATTGGCTTCAAATGAGTATTCCCTTTTGAATAATGACTTTTTATGCAATGGTGAAGAAGATGGTCCAAACCTTGAAATCACGGTGTCTTCTAAACATGAACACTCTCTTGGAGCCTTCCACATGTTACCAATGGAGGATATGGCCATGGAGGATTCTAGCCTTGATGGACATAATTACATGGGCAACAATGAGATTATTCAAAATTTCCAAGGGTTGGATGGTCACCTTGGTGCAATCTTGAAGAGGGAGGTAAGGGGTGGAGGACATGTTAGTTGTATTAAGGAACACCAAATAAGAATTTATTGTTTCCCATAGTATCACAATTACTTTTACTGTGAAGCTAGTTTAAGAATTAAGGTTGTATCACTTTACATTTTATACAATAGTTGATAATAATGTACACCAAAAAAAAAGGAAAAATAACAGAAAACAAGGATTTTAGAGTATTATTATTATTATTATTCTATATTGTAGTTCTTATCTAATGAAGATTTGATCTACTTCATGTTGGTTTTGTGTAGACTTATGAGAGAAATACAAAGCCTGAATTGAAGAAAACCCAAAAGTTCAAGCTTGAGGGAAGGGAGTGCATTAACAATGGAAAAGGCAGTTCTGCAATTGACCCTCAATGCTTTTATGCCAGGGTTAGAAAATCTCTCTCTCTATCTCTCTCTCTCTGTTGCTCATAGTATGTGCATGGCCGAATTTAGATTTCGACGTCATTTTCCCATTATCTTTAAACCATTCATTAACCGCGGCACATCAACGATTTGCAGAGACGAAGAGAGAGGATTAATGCGAGGCTGAGGATACTTCAAAGTTTGATCCCAAATGGAACCAAAGTATGAGCCACTCTCACCATTTCCAAATGTTTCTTATATACTGTATATTCTATATGTGTATGTTTTATTCTTTCATTGTAATTTTCTCCATCTTTAATTTTATTTCAATAGGTGGATATCAGTACAATGCTAGAAGAAGCCATTCACTATGTCAAGTTCCTCCAACTTCAAGTGAAGGTAAATAAGAATACCATAGTTTCATTGATTAAAGGAAGAAGTTTATATAAGGGTGAGGCCCTAAACCATTGCAACTCAAAAATTCATTGGAAGAGGTTGTTTTGATGCTGAAAAACCCTCAATTCGATCATCTCGACCTCAAGAAGTATAGAGATGAAAGAAAATAGATTTCAAGTATTGAAAATAGTGTATCTTGTAATGTACTATCTAGACGGTGAATTTTTAAGAATTTTAAAGGGTTCATAGATCTGTTTGATCTACACTGTTTTTTAATCTTTAAAGTTTACAATTAGAGATGAAAATGAATTTTCAGGCCATCAAAAAGATTTATGATACTAAAATAATATATTTTGACTATTTAAGGGTGCTCCTTACTTTGAATGTTTAGGGCTTCAGCCTTATACAAACCACATCCTTGATTGAAAGCCCATAGCTTTTTTTTTTTTTTTTTTTTGAAATCAAAATAATGCCCAATATCTTTTTGACTAAATAATACCCAAAGTTCACCTAAGGAGTAAATTAATATAGTCCTTGCTCAATGATGAGGAAAGTTTAGCTTGGTTTTCTTAATCCTATTTGTGTCTATAGATAGAGACATGGATAAAGGTGTTAGTATTGGATATAGATATAAATGTTAGAAATAGTAATCCCAAAAATTAGCCTTTTAAATATTATGCTATTTATATACCATTCAGCTAATACAGCTAGTTGAAATTTAGGTGGCACAAGGTAATTTTATGCTGATAGTTTGACAAACACAAGAAAATGTACCTTTGATGTGTCAACACATGGTTAAAATCATGAGACACACATGCTCACATTACACAAATGCATGCCTATAAATATGTGAGAGAGAGAGAGAATCATGAGACACACATGCTCACATTACACAAATGCATGCCTATAAATATGTGAGAGAGAGAGAGAGAGAGAGAGTATTTGGATAATCAATGTATATGGGCATTGCTATTTAGAATTGCAATTCCTCAATGTTTTTCAGCTTTCTTTATATAAAAACTTAAGGGGCAGGATTTGGTGCAACCCCGGTTGCACACTAATGAGTGTGACCTTAGCCTCAGAGGCACAGGATGCTCTGATATGCTATCAATCAGTTGAGAACTGGATAATGTAAAACACTGGGGCCACAATTTCTAAAAGCGTGGCCGCAGCTGCAAGAAAATATTTTCCTAATATTCCTTTTCAACTTGTTTTTTTGGGATGGTATATATAAGACTACTTACTTTTGAACCCTTACTTAAAGTGTATCATATAGGTCGATAAATTTTCTTTTGGATTTTGTCCCCAGTCAATGATAACCTCCAGCGGTCTCATTTCACATCTAATGGTCCACAATAATTGTGCATTATTGTACACATTTTCCTATTTTTTGTCATGGAACTTCTTAACATAGGCACTAGGAACTAGGAACTAGGAACTTCAGGAGTTACAATGTATTGTTTTAGTCCTTTAGGTGAATTTGGGATAATATCTTGGTGTAACCTGATCATTCTCTATGTTTTTCATGATTCCAGTTCTTGAGCATGGACGACCATTGGATGTATGCCCCACTTGCCTCTAACGGGATGGACATTATACTTCGACCCAAGATGGGTCTCTAATCATAAATTAAATTCAGGCTATTCAGGAAAAACTAAATGAGATTGTAGCCTAGAGAGAGAGAAATTGTGTCTTGAACCAAATTTTCCTCTATTTTCTTCATTTTTTTTATCTCTTGTTCCTTTCATAATTTGTAATATTTTGGGGTACGAAAATTTAGTGTCCTAAGCGCATGTAGCAAATTGTGCAATGGTTACTTTTTTCATTAATCGCCATTTCTTAATGCTTTTTCACTTTTGCATAGGGCTCACAAAATATAACCGTCTTAATTTAAAAGTAAGATTACAGTGTTCTATATCGTTTAAGAATGCAGTGTTCTATATCGTTTATTTTGGATAGATTTAATATATATTTTAAGACAACATTAGAGTTTGACATTTTCTTAAATTTGACACTTAATTACAAAACATGTTGAATGTAAACTACGCAACCAAAATGGACAATGTCCTTCTAAAACGTTTATTGAATGTTTTATGGGTGTGGTTTTCATACAGTTGAAACCTTAAACAAGGGCGCGTCTTCAAATTTGGTCATAACATATAATTTTGATGTAAAATATTCATAAGATTATCTCAAAATCTATTTTTATATCTAATTATAAAATTTTAAACTTCAAAAATGGTTAAAAATCAAGTAGATCTATAAACATATGAAAATTTTGAAAAATGTACGGTCTAGATAATGTGTTGTAAGATGCACTACTTCTGGAATTCAAAATCTTTTTTTATTTCATAATTATAAATCTCGATGTCCAGATGCTTAATTAGAGGGCTTTTGAACTTTAAAATAACTTTTTTCGACTGACTTTTGAGGTGCATCCGTAGTCCTATATTTTAAGGTTGCAACCTTTATTGTATGTTATGTCGAGATAATTGCGCACAATATACGTAGAGGTGGTCATGAGCCAGGTGGGATCGCCTGACTTGATCAACCCGGTGCTAAAAAACTAGGGCTTGGACTGCTTGCTATCAATTCTACACATATGGAGATGCAGTAAAGGGCCGACTAAGTGTTGCAACAATAAAAAGGAATCGATTCCAAAGGGAGTGAATATAGGTTTTGCTTTTACAGGAGCATTATAATCTTTCGGCGATTAATGAGTGGAACTTTAAAATATGAAAATTAGTATATTATTTAGGGAAAAGATTATATAGAGCCGAGGCTCTAAACAATCAAGTTTGAGTATACCTCAAAAATTTCCCTAAAGAGGTTGTTTTGATGCCTAAATATCTTTAAATTGATCATCTGGACATCAAGATACATAGACACGAGAAAAAATGGATTTCAAGTTTTAGAATAACGTATTTTGTAACGTATTTTTTGACCGTTAATTTCAATACTTTCAAGTTTTCATAGATCTATTGATCTACACTATTTTTGGACCTTTAAACTTTATAAATAAATATAAAAATATATTTTAAGATTATCATAAAGACTTCCAGTATTGAAACTATATTTCTCAATACTATTTGAAGGTAAGCTCTAATTTTAAGGTTTAAAGCCTAGGCTCTATACAAACTACACCCTATTATTTATGGGTGCTGTTTATATAGAGCCTAAGTTCTAAACAATCAAATTAGAACCTACCTTTAAATAATGTCGAGAAATGTGGTTTCAATACTGGAAATCTTTGTGATAATCATAGATATATTTTTATCTTTATTTATAAAATTTAAAGCTTAAAAAATAGTGTCGATTGACAGATCTATGAAACTTGAAAATCTTGAAAATTAACGATTCAAAAATACGTTACAAAATACACTATTTCCAAAACTTGAAATCCATTTTTTCTCATATCCATGCATTTTTATGTTGAGGTGATCAATTTGAAGATATTTGGGCATCAAAACAACCTTTCTAGTGAAATTTTTGAGGTAGGCTCTAATTTGATTGTTTAGATCCTCAGCTCTATATAAACTATTCCCATTATTTTATTGAGGAATAAATTTTCTGATGTCTCTCTTAAAATCTCTCATCTTCTTTATCCATATCTTTTCCAAAAAAAAAATTATATCATAAAATATGAACTCTTTCTCTCATCTCTCCCCATTGTAGAAAGGATGGGCATCCATATAGAGCTATGCATTTTCTATTCAAAAATTTTATTACGTGAATTTATTTTATCTCTCTCATAAAACCTTCCAATCTCTATAATTTTTATGGGGTTGTATATAAAGATATCATTTATCCTTTCTACATGAAGATAACAATCATTCGCACTCATTAGATGAAAAATTTTCTTTTATATGTATTTTCAAAAACATAAAATGTTACTCTCTTCTCTCATCCCTCTCATGAATTTATTTATTGTATAATATGCCCTAAATTCCCTCTCTTTGAAGAGTATCTTTAGGATCTTACCTCTCCATGACTAGCAACCACCCAAAATCATATAGAAAAGAGAAAAATCATCAACCTAAAAAGAATAAAGAAATGTATAATATACAATGAGATCATTTATTGTTGATATAAAGATGTCACAGTCATTATTGTCCATTAGATTTGAAATCAATAAGTTGAAGAGGTATCATTGTTTAGGCACAAATCCCAAAACAATTTTTTTAAAATATGGACACTTTCATCTATTAGATTTCACGTCCAATGACTAAAAATGATTGTGACCTTATTGTGATTGTATAAAAAATAAATGGTCTCATAATATATAATCCCAAAAGATAATATTCTAATACCAAATGTAGTGCGTCCAATTTTTAGAAAGTCGGATCTCCGAATTTAGGAACTCAAAAATCCAATTTTAAGTTTGCTTTAAGACAATCAATTATATAGTAGATTCCACAATTTCAACTTAAAAATATCTAACAAGACTCTCTTTTTCTTTTCTTTTTCCAGCGGTGAATTTAGATAGCAGCATGCTATGCACGCTCATCTTCTAGACCTTGTAAAACTTACTTTCTAGACCTTCCGCAGAGAAGGATGAGCATTCACAGAATTTATAAATAAATAAAAATAAGTATAATAGGAAGCAAAAAAATCTAATATCATTGATGCTGATGTGGCAGGTTGCCGTTGGCTATAACTTGTACCTGGATGTGTGAAATCTTTTTTCTAAGTCCAAGATTTTACACGTCCATGATTTTTAACGTCTAAAATTTTGGCGCTTCCTGAATCCGGTTTCCACATCCCATAGAATTCCTACTCTCCAAACAAACCTACGTAATCTTGATCCCTAGTTACCATACCTACTCCCTCTATACATCATCATCGTCAAATTCCTACTCTCTAAACAAACCTACGTAATCTTGATCCTTAGTTACCATACCTACTCCCTCTATACATCATCATCATCGTCAAAGTCTTTTTTTAACTAATTAGAATCAACTACATTAATCATGGTTTGTTATTTTGCTCTATTAAGGATCATACCTTTAGTAAGGCCATAAATACCCCTTGTATTTTTTTAGCCTTCCATTTCAACTAACGCACATCTCCTAAAAGGTGTTGTATTGGGTTTGCGTCACACATGACCAGCTAACCTAAGTCTATTCTCTCTCATCTTATTGTCTATTGGTGTCACACTTAATGCCTTTTTGAATGTATTCTTTTTTAATGTATTCATTTTGAATTTATCACTTATTGTCTTGCCACTCATCCATCTCAATATCCTTATCTCTGTTACACTCATTCTATGGGTATATTGTTTTTTAACCGCCCAACATTCTGCCCCATAGAGCAAACCTAATCTCACAATTGTCTTATAAACTTGCCATTCAGCTTCATTGGTGCGTGACAATCACATAAAATTCTGGTTGCACATCTTCACTTCGCCCACCCAAATCTAATTTTATGTGCAACATCTTCCCCACTCTCTCCATTTTCTTAGATTATCGATCTAATATATTAAAAGCGCTCTTTTTTGTATTTTCTGGCCATTATTCTTAATCACTTCTTCGTCTCTACTCCTATTATTATTAAACTTGCATGCCATATACTATGTCTTAGTCCGACTAATTTTTAAAGCTTTATATTCTAGAGCATCCCTCCAAAGTTTTAACTTTGTCTTGACGATGTTTCGAGTCCCATTGATCAAAACTATATCATCTGCAAACAACATGTACCACAGTACCTTATTTTGTAGATGCCTAGTTCAGTCATCTATAACTAAGACAAAAAGATATAGGCTCAATATTGACCGTTGATGTAGACCTATTGTCACTGAAAATTCACTCGTCTCTCTACTAGTTGTTCGTATACTAGTTAGCGCTACATCGTACATGCACTAGTTACCTAGTCTCTCTAAACAGTTGTTCATCCATGCCCTCCCTAGGCAGAATCTTTTGCTTCATTTAGCTCATGCAAATATTGCTGAGCCCAAGACCTTTCCAATCCTAAGGCTTGAAATCCGTGACTATAAGGCTACTTGGTTAGAAGCAGGCTTCAGACTTGTATTCAAAGATTACGTGAAACTGACTACTGCGAGAAGGAGTACAGACATCTATTTCAAATCAATCACTTCTTCGACATGGAGAAGGCCAAAGGGGAGCCAAAGAATCCCCTCTTCAATGGTTCTGAAACTCCTCCCCCTCTAACTGTAAGGATGCCTCGTCGCCCTGATGTTTGGGACCGGCCAACCTATTTGGTGTCCTACATTGCTTTGTTCTTGTGCCACATTGCACTTCCAGACTTTATAGGCCATGTGGTCAAGTCGGAGTGCTTATACACTACTTGCAATATGGCCGAAGGCCATGGGTATGGTCTAGCCCAGCCCGTGCTGTGTTGCATCTACAATGGGCTAACCTCGACAATGGATCCTGAGAAAGTTCTAGGAGATTTGCATCTCCTTTCCCTATCCATTATGTTTATGGGTGGCTTGGTGCCTATTTTCCGAGCACCTATAAATATTCTTTGACATCCAATATTGACACCTTCCCCTTCTTGCTCCGCTTAATGGGCTGCAGAGCGGTCTTCCACTCGTCCGTCCAAGCACGACAATTGCTCTGGGAGGATAACTTCTTTCGATTCAGGCCCTTCCCCATTGAGGACCAAAGAGGGGCTCTTTACAGAT